AAACGAAAACGATTCAGTTTTCGGAAATTGAAGGATGGTTTTTCAGATGATTACCATGGTGAATGGGCAGGATTTTACAACCAAGGATATCCAGCTTCTTCGATACATCGACATATGTTCTGGCACATCAAGTACAGAGTTATATACTATGGCTCAACATCAAGACTACTGGTACCACCTTACAGATGACCAGTTGATGACAGAGTACATAGCCAGACATAAAGATCAACAACCACTACAAGAACTAGAAGATCTCAAGAACACAATTGAGTATGGTTGTAGTGATCCAAGATTACATCCTCGACATCAAGAGCATTCAGAAGAAGCCTCAAGAGAAGCAGAAAAGAGGATTGATGATGATTTTCAAAATTTGACTGGGGTACTTCAAGCTTATGTTGAGGAACACAAGGTCTTACCCTACTGTGTGATCTTGCATTGCTTAGCTTCAAGATGCTTAGGAGGAGGCCTGGTCGACCCAACATACAAAGATGAAGAATACCTTTATCGCTCCTCTCCACAGTTCTCATTGATGTTTTGGAATCTGGGAAACTGGTGTCGAAACAGATTTGACAAATGTCCTGTTCCAGAAAGACTCCAACCATTTGTTCCACATATCGACTACAACATGGATGAAGATCACAATCAATTCGACCAGGACAAGTCCCAGTATAACAATTATTTCATCAGTGTCATCAAGAACTTTGGGGGACATCTTTTCATGGATTGTGAAGCTGGTTCACTATATCCTCACAGAGCTCGTCTCGAAGAGGCACAGGTACAAACTTGCTTCAATGATTATCATGATTTGATGGTTGCTGCTCGTATCGGAAAGGAAGGCTATATCAGGCAGATTGCTGGATATTGCACAGATGAGAAGGACACACGAGTTCGACAAGTTTCTTGGGCAATCTTCGAGGTCTCCTGGGGAAAGACCAAGCATCGTGACACAGAGGAGATTGAAGATTTGACAAGAGCCAGGATGAAGATGACGCGTGTGTGCGTATATCATGTCGGACAGAAGTATGCTTCAGACTCAGCTGGTATTGTTGGTGAATCTATAGCTGCAGCTATTATGGCTTTTGAGTGTGCCAGGTATCAAGTTGACGTGATCGCAGGCGATGGGAACAAGGCATGTTATTTCACCACACCAAAAACACCAGGAGTTCCCACATACCAGCACAGCCTATTACAGTTCTGGATCAACAGAATGATGGATGTTGCAGCACAAGCTCTATGCAAGAACTTCGGCAAAACTTGCCATCCAGTCAGGGTCAAGCACTTCATTTCTTGCAGTTATCGAGATCTTGATTTTCTAGCAACACATCTGGAAGGCATTACAACAGAAACATACACCGAAGAACTTATGAAGAAGACATCAGACAAAGGTGATTGTTGTATGCTTTCAGTTGTTGAGTGGGGACATGCACGTCTGGAGTATGAGGAAGACTTAGCCAGGTTTGAAGATGAAGATCACATGAACTACGTGGGTGAATTTTACTTCAAGGTTAATGAAACTTGCTTACATGGTGATCACAATATCTTCATGGTTGCACCAAATGATCGTGATGCTCACAATCCTATTCTTGTTCATTTGAATCCTTCTGATATGACTTGGAATGAGAGAAGCCACTATAAACCTAGTCAGATGAAGATCAAGCGAAAGCAACAAAGGAAGGAAACTCAAAGGCAGAACAAGAGGAAAGGACAGGAAGATCAGGCATGGAGCGATCAGCGCAACACTGGCTATGGTAGATCCTCAGCTTCATCGTCAGGAAGTTGGAGAACAGGCTATTGGCGATAAGTGAGTGTATACTTCTTTAACTGAAGATAACACAGCATGAGAGGCCTTGTACAGTTTTCTGTGCACCAAGCTTGTTTTTCACAAGATGGCATATACTCTTTTAGATGGAGGTAATGTCACAAGTGTCTGAATTTCAATTTAATGTAGATAGATACTCCTGTAAATAGAGATACTATCACAATTTGTCTCCATGAACTTTCCGCTGAGCAGAACACCTCCGAATGGAGCGAATCTAATATACCAACTCCGAATTTTGTCCATTGTTCGCTTGAATGAGCAACTTTGGAAATCCGCGATTTCTGTTTATTTTGTGATTCGGTCAAGTGTTTTCCATCTGACCTCAATTTCTGAATCTTGCAGTGCGAATGAGAGACTTTTCACACCGGTAGAGCGAAGCACTTTGCTTGGAGCGACCGTGCTCAACGCACAATTGGTCACTACCGAAAAATAATTAGCGAATCCGCTGTTTTCTTTTCGACATGTCCTTAGGACATCCGCTACTTTCAAGTGATTTTCTTTTCGAATCCACTGCGTGACTTCAGCTTAGTTTTGCCGATTTGCCATTGTGTAGATAAACAGGAAGATACTCTTATTACCAATTGGGTACGACAAGGCGTAGTGCTCTACTCATTGCTTTTGAATTTGTGCCTGTGTTTTGCTTTTGACCTAATACCTACAGAGGTACATGCATGAGTATTGAGCACATTTATATGCGCCCTCAAGGCTCAAGAGGTATATAGAGAGTAACCCTGTAGACACCGCGCGAACTGGCAATACGCCGAGAGTGAAAGTGTGAGCTGTCTTGGGAAGACGCCTTAGCTGATCTTGAAGTAGACGCTAGGGCCCCTCTTCAGCCCTCCCCCCAATCCCCCCCTCCCGTTTTTTTATCTTTAAACCCAAGCTCGTAAATACATTAGTTGGTGTGAATGCTAAACATGACCATCGTCCGCAACTTGCATTTTTGCGAACTAACATTCGCGTGAAAGCTTGGGGGTGACATGATGATGTAGTGAAGGTGGCCATGCCAAAATGTATCAAACCCTTGGGGTTTGCATGATGATGTGGTGAACATGCTCACATGTAGAAAATCCCATGCAAAAGGGAAGGTGAACACGCCCACATGTAGGAAATCCCATACAAAATGGAAAATGGAAGGTGAACACGCCCACATGTAGCAAATCCCATGCAAAATGGAAGGTGAACATGCCAAATATGTGGCCAATCCCATGCAAAATGGAAGGTGAACATGCCAAAATGTGGCAAATACCATACAAAATGGAAGGTGAACATGCCAAAATGTTTCAAATACCATGCAAAGTGGAAGGTGAACACGCCCACATGTAGGAAATCCCATGCGAAATGGAAGGTGAACATGCCCAAATGTGGCAAATACCATGCAAAATGACAAATTCAAGTTCCAAACCGTTGCGAACACTAGGCAAATTGTACCAGCCAAGAAATCCAAAAAAAAATCCCAAACCTGCTCCAAAAAAAATTCTAAAACTATTTCACACCCCTATCCAGAAGTGGCTGGATTCTGACGTCCCAAACGAGAAGATCATTCTCTCCCTGACCACCGTTGACCTTACGGGGAAGATGGTGGATTGGTTCAAAAATCGCTCATTGCGGAGTACGGCCTGGCGGGGATGTCATTCTGGTACTGGCAGGGAGACGATAACCAGTTGGACTCCTCTATCTCCATTGACTGCATCCAGGACTAGCGGGACAGCATGGCATGGCACATATAATTGGATAGTATGATATAATATGATATGATATAACATCTATGTATTCTTCTATGTACTATGAATGATGTATGCATTACAGTTCTGATCGACCGATGCACCTCATAACTCAGGCACTTGGGTTTTGTGCACTACAAGGACATTCCTTTGATTTGCCAAGTTGCCTTCGGTTGCTGGTTTCCTTTTTGTTGTGTCAGAATCACTCCTGACAATCATTCAGTGTTGATGGGAATCAGGGCGTTCAGTGGCTTATGGGGATCCTCATCACTCTCACTCAAAACCCACAAGGTCGATTTTGCGACCTCGGTAACTTTTGGGCTCTCAAACTTTGGAATCCCCAATTTCCCACGGTTTCCGGTTCTTTTCATCTTTCTAACCTGCAGGATCAGGGCACTCAGTGCGACTCCAGCAGTTCCTTCAAATGCAGTCAGGTCTGCAACGGTGGCGATGCCGACGGATATTGCTGCGACTCCGACTCGATCACATACATCAAGGGCACGGCATACAAATGCTCCGATGGCTTAGAAGCCTGCTGTGGAGGGACTGACTCGACCAGCTATTGCCAGAAGGTTTAGTGAGTTTCATGACAAAAATGTGGATCTGTGTGGTATCCGGAATCCATTAGAATCCATTGGAATCCGTCCATTAATGCAGGTAGTGGTATCTTTATGGTATCCTCCCAACTTTCCACACCAAGTTGTTGATGAATGCCTGCTGTTAATGGCGCTTTTGATGGCCATACTGGATACTCACCCAACATGATCAACGGTGACTGGCATGTTGGTTTATACGTAGAGATGACTACGGTAAAAAAAATAAATGATTGCGGATAAATTACATTTTTTTTGTGGCATATTAGACTTAGCAGAAGGTCAATAATTATCCTGCACATATCTATAACTTTATAACTCTATGGATGCCACATATCTTTTGACTCGAGGATTGGTCTTTCCAAGATGTTCCAAGTTTCAAGCACCACCGAGATCGTGCAATTCAGCTACAAACGCTGCCAGATTGTCGAAGTAATCAGGATGCATGTCTTAAAAGTGGCATGGATCGGCAAGGTAATTTGCCAGACTCATCCTGACCAAAAGAAGTGCGGTCGGCCTGTCGTTTGACTATGTTTGACCATGTTTGACCATGTTTGACCTGGCCTTCAGATATTTTCCACGACATTTGGGTATGAGAAACATGAGAAACCAGCTCGAAGTCCAACCTTCGTTACGGGTTCAGTTGCAGGTTGATTTATTGTTTTTGAACACGTCATGAACCACAGCCCATGCCATCCCAGTAAAACATATTTCCATTCAAATCCATTAGTTCCATGAGTTCCATTAGTTCCATTGTCTTCAATTTAGATTGAACTTTGAGCCAAAACCTCACCATCGATCTTCGGAATCTCACAGCACAGGGTGTTTTTCGGCGTTTTGGCTTCAGTTGTGCCAACAGGTGCATCTTCAACAGGAGGATTTTCTGAGAAATTCCAGGTTTCACAACATGCAATGCGCGTGGCCGTTGTGTGCTATGCGCTAGTGCTGCGCAGCGCTGCTTTGCGAGATGAGATTAGTAGATTTGAGCCCTTAGAGCTCGAGGTGGGGAAAGACCGGGGACTGGAGCTATGATTCGGTTTGCCGCAAAAAATGATGGATTTTCTGAGGATTGAACCAACAACAGCACATAGCTGACATAGGACCTGTGATCATTTGTGATTTGATTTTTGTCCTTTGATGGGCATCGTTTGTGCGCGGAGGAAATCCGGCGTTTCTTTTGCTATGCCAACATTCTACAGACGTCTCCGATACATTTGCTTTTGGCCTCCTTTCCTAGTTGATCTTTTTTCCAACATTTAAGCCACTCGGCCAATGCATACCATGCAATTACTATGCCCAATATCACCCAATATCAGAATCATTGCATCGTATTTCTGCGTTCATATCGGTCTCAGACCTCCTTTTGTCAGTCGAGCCGAAGGGCAGGTGGGCCGTATCTCTGTTGCAGGTGCCAGATGAAAAGATGCACCAGGAGGCACGGTACAGCTGCGGAAGCCATTGGAAGAACGATGGAAATCATTCGAACATTTGGGCCATTGTTGTTTTCCACCTTCAGCCGTGGTTTTGCATGCTTCTTCCGGCGCGGTACTTATGCAAACCGTCATGTAATCGTCATGTAATTCTCTTTTTCATCCATGGTTTCAGTTGCTCAGAGCCATGGCTGTCCAGGTTGAATGCACAGAAAAATTTGTCGCGCTTCAGTGGAATTTGATGAAATTTCTACATGATCATGACTCGAATCATGGCATATTTCATGACATATTTCTGATCATGACTCGAATCATGACTCGAATCATGACTGGGGGCCTGACTGGGGACTTGGGCTACGGAGCGCCGCGACTTCTTCAGGCGCCGATGAATTTTTTGACGTCCGGGGAGACGTCCACGGTGCGCAATGTGCGCAATCCCAGTTTTCACCAAAACTGCTGCTTTTGACATGTGGAAAATGTGGAAAATGTGGAAACTGTGGACATGTATGGAAATGTTAAGGTGCTTTGCCCCTTCCCTGCTTGACACTGCTTGATGTGCTGTCAGCCTCGGCTTGGAATCCAAGGCTGACCAGCCTGAAGCTTTCCTGGAAGTCTCTTGGACTGGAAATGCAAGTCTTTGGTCGCCCTCTTTTTCTGTATGTTTGATGATGATAATTGATGATGATGATAATTGAGTATGTACATATTCTGTACATATTTTGTAGATCGCAGTTCAGGGAGTTCACCACTGTGAAAAACCCCGTGAGTTCAGTGGTGTTTTTTCACCATTTTTCTATATTTTTCTCAAGCGCCGAAATTGGCCGGGATGGCAAGGCGACTCCAGTGGAATATGGAAAAAATCCACCCAGAATTATGGAAGAAAGTGGAAGAAAGTGATGTCGCAATCTGTCGTAATCCCTTTCGAAAACAGGGATCAAATGGATCAGGGTCATTCTTTTACTTTGGCCAGTGCCGGCAACTTGCACAATCTAAAGACAACAAGCAGTACAGAGGCGGGAGGAGCATACTGGAGGCTTATGGTTGTTGCAGCTGTTGCCTTATTTTTGGATGTTTTTCTTTCGTTCAGCCATGAGGTAATAAGCGCCACAAATTGCATCGATGGCACTTTGCACCTGCGGGGCCAAAATGTGGTCAATAGTGCGCTTGTCTTCTCGAAGGACGCAGCTTAGGTGTTGCTTGCAAGCAACCTTCTGATGAGTTAACCAATGAGTCAGCCAACATGTCCAATTTCCGTACTCCAGTCGATGGGTCCTACTGAATGTGAGCACAAGCTGAACCCAAAGAGCAAAATGACCATTACGCAGGTCTTGTTAAGTTGCGCGGGGCAGTGACTGGGCCGCGGCTGGGCCGCAGTTTCCATGCGATAGAACGTTGCAAAGAGGATGGAGGGCTTGTGCCCTGCATCAAGTATCTAATCAGGGAAACATGGTCAGGAAAAAGCAAGAGAGTTCCATAGGGTTCCAATTGTTCTTTGAGGCATCTGCTGAGTTTATCCGATGTAGAAAGCGCAGAGGATTTTTGTTTGCCGCGCTGCCCGGTTCTGTTTCGTAAAGTGGTGGTGAAGCCACGCGCATCGGTGCGACGTGCCCAAGACGCAACGCAGGAGTGTGCGACACTGCGCGGGGACATGGGCGCGCAGGCGTGGAGCGAGGGACCTGAGGGACACGGCGTGATGTGTAGCGCCACGAAGCCAAAACATGACAAATACAAATCGACACAGATCGTATGTCGTGTGTTTGGACTCTGTTTGGACCAGGTTTGGACCATGTTCTGGCGAATGAGCGAAGTCTTCACAGGGAAGATCAGAACCTTCCACATTGATGTGAATGTGAAGTCCGACTTGTGCGAACCAGCTATGTAAAACAGTTTCCATGACTTCACAGGAAGGTTGTTTGGCCGAACTGCCATGGGCAGGGCATGAGGCAAGTGAAATTTGAACAATTAAATGTCATGGCAGTACAGTGAATTCAGAATATACCGAAGGGCACATAATCAGTTCTGTTGAGGGAACATTGCAGCGATGGCACATGCGATGGCAGATGCAGGTGACTTTGAAGGAGCCGTTGATCTTTGAAGGACTGGAGAGGGCGCACTTTTGGAGCTCTCATGGAACTCTCCAACGCGAAATCGCTCCTTTTTGTCCTTGTTTGTCACAATCCTTGCGCTGTGTTCTCCTTGTTTTCTTTGGTTTGCCTTCAAGTGATGAGCGCATCGAGAATATCCAGATCCAGAAAAAATGTGTTGAAACCAACTTGGTGAGTTGGTGGCTTGCATGTCAAGGTTTCTCAAGAAATCTCAAGAACATGTTCTGAGATTGATGGAGGATTGGCATTGTGGGTTTTCGGTCAAATGGCCTCAGGAGATCTGAGGATGGAAGGAGACATCCGCTTCATTGCGGCACGTTCTTTTTGGCAACCCTGCGTTTCAGTCAAAGGGAACGCCTCCATGTTTGGAAACATCCACTTCGAGGGCTGCCGCAACAAGGACCAAGATTCTCCAAGATCGCAGACCCGCTTTGCTTGGAGTGTTGGAATTCTTGGAAGCCCATCCAAAGAAGATTGGGGGGAAAGTTTCAATCCGGGAGTTTTCTCAGGGGAGCCAAACTCAGTACAACAAACAGATAATCATTTGAACAGCTCTTTAGACATAAAGTTGAACACTGTTGAACATTTAAGAGCTTGGTTACCTTGGTTCTTTCTATTTCTTTCTCCAAGATTTGGTTTCAAAGAGGCCATAAACTCATGGAACGTGCGCACTCAGGGAAGTGTTGCAGAGTGGTGGTTCTGGGGATGGCTTGCGGTGACATGATGTGACATGGAGAGAGGCTAAAGGCTTTCTTTCGGCTTAGTGCGGAACATGTGGATGCGAATGTCAGGAAGTAGGCTAGTGGTATGAAGCCAAAACCCGTTAATGAGCGATGATTGAGGCTGTAGTAAGCTGTTTTGCTTAAGAGCTTTTCGGAACGATTCTGCCCATGACATCTGAGTAAAAGCGTTCCTGAGTAAAAGCATTATCGCGCAGGACACGAAGTTGAATGCAGGAGGTGGGGTACTCCTACCGGCTTTGCACCTGTGCAATGCGCTCCGTGTTCTCCGTGTTCTCCGTGTTCTCCGTGTTCTCCGTGTTCGGTCCACCTTGTGGTGATGTCAAAGCATTCTAGATTCTTTCGCGAGCTCTGCATGTGCTGGGTTGCAAAAGACCAAAGTTTGCCGGTCGGGCCTCGTCACAGGCAAAGGCAGATCACGATAGAACCCCCAGAAATTCATCTTAAGTTCAAGCATCCAGATATCAAGGCAAGCGTGTATCAATTTGTCAGGGGTCAAGCCAATGGGGAATGGCACATTGTGGCATACTGTGGTATATTGTGGCATATGCAGGTATGGTCCGGTATGGTCCGATATGGTTCGATGGGAGGTATCTTCGATATCTTCGCCGCAAAGTGGCAGGTGGCGGCCTCATGGTGGGGAAAACGCTGACGCAGCATGCGGGTGCCATCGCCTTTCACAATTGCAGCAGCGAAGATCGCGGTGCGGAGCCTCAGACTGAGCTGGTAGAGTTTTGGACGTTTGGACGTTTGGATGGAGTTTGGACGGAGCTTACCAGGGAAACAGAGGGGATCGTTCTCGAACTTGCCGGGTCCCAAAAGTCCGAAGGGAAGATGAAAGGATGAGAGTATGTCACGCAACGCCGCAACGCCAGCGATATTTGATAAGTTTTGATAAGTTGTCTATCAAGTTTCCACAGTCTAAAGAGTTCGCCGCAAATCAAAGTTTCGCCTTCAATTGTTGACCAACGTCGCGGTGGAACCATTGTCTTCATGTCAATCTGTGGAGAAAATGGCATCGGATGATTTTGGCGGGGCATGGTACTCGCTTGTGCACCTGAGAATCGTCTCGCTTGTGCACCTGAAAATCCTCTCGCTTATGCACCTGAGAATCTTCCACTTCTACCTCTACTTGCACCTCTCATTCTACTTCCACTTCTACTTTCAGCTCTATTCCTACTTGTCCTTCTACTTATTTCGTGGCTCTTCTTACATCAAGTGCAAGAAGATATAAACCCTAAAGGTGTCGTGGCTCTTCTTACATCAAGTGCAACAAGATCTAAACCCTAAAGGTGTCGTGGCTCTTCTTACATCAAGTGCAACAAGATATAAACCCTAAAGGTGTCGTGGCTCTTCTTACATCAAGTGCAACAAGATATAAACCCTCAAGGTGTCGTGGCTCTTCTTGCATCAAGTGCAACAAGATATAAACCCTAAAGGTGTCGTGGCTCTTCTTACATCAAGTGCAACAAGACATAAAGCCTATAAAGGTGTCGTGGCACTTCATACATCAAGTGCAACAAGATATAAACCCTAAAGGTGTCGTGGCTCTTCTTACATCAAGTGCAAGAAGATATAAACCCTAAAGGTGTCGTGGCTCTTCTTACATCAAGTGCAACAAGATCTAAACCCTAAAGGTGTCGTGGCTCTTCTTACATCAAGTGCAACAAGATATAAACCCT